ACATAAAAGAAATAATGATGTTCAGATCACCAGATTGAAGAACATGCAATTTTTTTAATCACTTGGAATCCTAGGCAAAAGAAAAAATCATGCTGAAACTTTGAGGCTCTGTTTTTTTATATATCATAACATTTTTCATTAAAGACTAACATAGCCATTTGCCAGAATAGACATTTTATATATTTAGCATGTAATTTTTATTCTTATTTTGAAGAATGCCTTCTTTTGAAAAATGACATATATTAAAATGTAAACAAACTTTTTAAGAAAACATAAATCACACACACACACATGAGATTTGAAGAAGCTAAGGAGATGAGCTAATAGTTTACACTAAAGTTTGACATGTCATAGTGCAATGTAATGTTTTGTAATCAAATACTCTAATATATTTTTAGTGGGAGAGTGGTAATACTCAGATTCTATCAAAGTTTGTAAGTCTGTAGTTTTTTCTCATGTATCTTCTTTAGTCTTTTTTCTCATCAGATTCTACACAAAAATAAAAATATAGAGAAGTGATGTATGTTGCTTAAATTTCTCAATTTGATTACATGCCTCTGTTTGGAAGCAACATTTGGGTTTACCTTTGAAGTCTTATGGTCCTTTCACTCCTTTGTCCATCAATTTCTTCTCTAATATTTGCCTCTTCCTTAAGCCTAAAAGAACTTGAAAATAAAAAAAATCAAAAATTTGACCTTAATTTCCCGGCCGCCGGTTTCCCATTATTTGTAATTGGAATGATACATAGAATATTAGCATGGCCCATGCGCAAGGATTACACGTAGAAATAAAAAGTGGTCCTACTTTTTTGCGGATTTTTCCATGCTTTTTCTACTGCATTTTGGGTTTCAACCTGCAGATTTTGAAAGAGAAAAAAAATAGACTTTTGTTTGATGAAGATAACAAAATTGTAGTTGTTTAATTCCATATCAAACTTAAGAATCTTAATATACGAAGAATCTATTTTTTGTATCTTAATATCAATGAATAGAATATTTAATCAATCCATCACTGCGATGTTTGAGTTCATGAGTCAAAGCTTGGGGGGTAGAATTTAAAGTTCATACTTAGGATATCCTTAAATGTGAAGCCAAAAACTGTTGTCTTGGTGAACATAGATGATGTTAATGTTTCCCACGAATCAAACAAAAGATGGAGGATTTTAGGTTTAGGTAAAATATTTGGCAAAGTCAGTATATTGAGGGATAATTCTTAGACCTGGCAGAATCTTCTTCCAAAACATTATATTGGATAGCTTCATTCATCTCATCCTTAACATTTTGATGTCATCAATCTTGACATATACTACTCTATCACAATATTTTTGAGATTTATTTAACAAACCCTAAACTTATTTTAAGATAAAGCTACAAAATTGATGAAATTAAAATACAACTGATATGGAGATATATAGAAGTATAGATGGAAAGATGATAGGTTTAAAACCTTAATTATGAAAAAATATATGAAGAAATTGATGAAATTTTTATGTACGATACCTGCTGTGTCAAATGTTGAAGAAGATGAACAGTACTCTGGTAGCTACCTCCACCTTTTCCATTTTCAAGCGACAATGTTCCCACAGGTTTCTTTGTCTTCTCTGTTTCATTCCCATTGCTTCTAAGAATCCGTTTCGTCCCCAACATTGCACCGGATATTAAAAAGCCCTTATATTTCCAAGAATTATCCGTTAAGAATAGTGATAGAATTTGTTTCACATCTTTAAATTACTCTCTATTATGCTAAATCGAAATGGTCTAACAAATCTTTATATAAAGTTTACTATTAAAGTTTACTATGTATTATGCATAAAAAATTTACTACAAAAATTAATATGAACAAATTAATGTGAAGTACAACCTTCAAGGAGTTAAAATTGAAGGGATGCAAGTAATTTCTTATCAGGCATAGTCTAACAAATGTTTTAATTATATATGAAAATTGAAAAACCTTCTGAGATGAAATCTAACAATAGATTGACAAAATAATTATGAAATATATACGGGGAACATGTATAAATGAAAAGAGAAAGATTTGGAACCATAAATTGAGATTGTTTTTGAAGGAAAAACTCTTGCACCATCTCCTTGCTAAGACCCCTAGATTTGTCATTGCCATCTCCACATTGAATGCTATTTGTATTCTTATTTGGCAATTTTACAGAAGAGATGAAGGAGCAATTAACAAATTTACAGAGATATGTTAGACAATTAAAAAAACTGAAGTTTTGAGAAGGGGTGTACACATTGACCATGAAGAACACCTCCTAAATTTTTTCAAATTGATTGTTTAAATAAAGTTTAACAATATAACTTCCACCCCCAGTGAGTTTAGGGTTCACCAGTAGCAGCAAGAAGGTTTTTTTGTCTCTATGGGTGCAGCTAATGAAGTATTGGAATTACTCTTGAAATACTCTTGTAATACTGATTCAAGAGTGAAACTACAATGCCAAGAATGCACTCAATATTAAGATTAAACTCTTTCATGCTAGAAGTTAAACTGAAAATGTTGATGATTAAAAAAACCCTGCGGTGAAATCAATTGGCAAACCACGGCCAAATCTTGAGTATGAGATAGAATTAACTAATGAAAAAACAATTGAGACACACCTGAGGTAGCCGGTGGTTGCCGTGTCTTCTTCATTGAGGTTGTCGGCATCTGCAATTCAATGTGAAGGATAGAAATGGACCATAGAATCTGGCTATGTTAGAGCACAGATCTACGGGCTATAGAAATGGACATCAGTGTCGTCTGCATCTATAAATCACAGATCGATGATGCCAAAGAAATAGGCGCAAATAAAATCGTCGATGTCGTCTATGTATTCTCCAGATCATCCCCCTTTCTCCATTGATGTCGTATCTACAAACAGTCACCTATTAAATAGTCCCCATTAACACACGGTTACGGAAGAGGATGCTGGAGTTCCCGCTCGAAAAGAACATCCTGGATTGAAACCGGAAAGATGTATGAAGAAATTGATGAAATTCAGAGGTACCATAGCCGCTGCGTCAAAGTTGAAGAAGATGATGAACAGTACTCTCGCAACAACAACCTCCACCTTCTCCTTCTTTCTCCAGTTGCTCCCTTCTCTCTGTCTT